TTTTTTTATCCAATCTGATGGCCTGTGTCTTTTGATTGGGGCATTTAGCCCATTTACATTCAGGGTAACTCTTGAAAGATAGGGATTTAGTGCCACTGTATTACCTGTAAGGAGACTGTTACTGTATATTGTCTGTGTTCCTTTCTGGTCTATGTTGCTTTTAGGCATTATCCCCAATGCCTACCATGATGCCTGGTCTTCCATAAAGACTTGTCAATGAAATTCGTGATGACAAGATGCAATCTTCACATGCTGGGTGTGGCAGACAGGACCCTTTTGGTCTATCTCAGGTGGGAAGGGAGACATATTTAGCTCCATGATGGGCATCTTTGCTCTAAGGGATCACAGAGAGCAAGTCTTAATGAGAATGCTCTTAGATGTTCCAATTGCAGCATTACAGTATTTGCTTGAACACAAGAGTGGGCACATGTCTGCCCAAAAGTTTCCATAATGGACTCTTGCTCTGCCTGCAGTTGTTTCCCCCCAGATATCTATATGGCTCACTTCTTCACCTCCTTCAGGTCTTACTCAAATGGTGCCTGTAGCAGATACTGTCAGTGAGCCATCCATGTGTCCTGGCCATCTTCCAACTGCTGGATCTGTGTCTGTGCCTGGGGGCCCTCCCCACCTCCCCCAAAACAGCAGGACATCCACAGCCAAGGGAGCCACTCTCAAGCACTGACTATTGGCTATTTATCCCCAACTCCCTCAGCCACTGGGGACATAGAACAATCCTCAGTTTCCCAGAATTTCCCAGCAGGATTGAACTTCACTTGCCTCCCATGGGAGCTGATATAATAGTACACCCTTGATGGGCCACCTTCCCCTTCCCATGGTACCTCCCAAACAAACTACCTTCACTCAAATCTTTGATTCAGGGCCTGTTTCTGGGAGAACTCAAGCTAAGATGTTTACTTTTCCAGTAAGTTTCCCTCCACTCTCATCTCCCTATCTCCTCTCTGCCTTATGTGTTTCTGTGGCATGTACTTGACATTCTCCATATTTTACTTACTTATCTTGTTGACTGTCAGTGCCCCCCAACTAAAACGTAAGCTCCTTGTGGGCAGAGCCAAACTGTTGTCTGTCACGTACATTACTGTATTGTGTTTTTGCTAGTGTCCAGAAGAGCACCTGGCACATAGCAGTCTCTTACAATGATTTGTGGTTGAATTAATAGATCTGTAGCTGTAGAATAATCCACGAACCCCATGTGTTGGAATAGAATAGCTGCTCAGTAATTTCAGATTACGCTTTGGTATGGTGGAAGGATACTTTAAAAATGACTTTTGGAAAACACTAGGCTCTCTGTATTTCAAAGGCTACACTTGTCCCCCTGGGTTGTACAGCTTTTAACTTCTATTAGATTTGCTTTCCTGGAGTGTGGGCAGGGGACAATCCTCATGTCCGGGGCCTGTGTGTCCCAGACCAGCACAAGGCTGTTTCGCATCAATGCTTGTCCATGATTTCTGGAAGTCCTCTGGGCACTCTGCTGTGCTGTGCCAAGGAAAGCACTTAATTAAGACTTAGATTCCTGCCTCCTCCCAGGCTGTGTTTCAGGTTTGGGGTGTGAGGCTGTAACTGCCACCTCGTAGAGCCAGCAGTGACCCCTTGGTCACCACCTGGCCTGGCCAGCACAGTTTGTGGGCAACACCTTTGGCCCAAGACCCTCTAAGAACTGGTGGAATGACTGTGTCTTTTTTTCTGTTTCTCTGGTAGGGGAGAGTCTTGGGAATATGCGGGAATGTTGGAAGTGGAAAGAGCTCCCTCATTGCAGCTCTCCTAGGACAGGTAAGCTGCGAAGATGGAGCACTGACATGACAGTCAAATGGTCCCCACCTGCCACGTCTGGGGCCCTTTGAGAACAGTGGACCCAGCAGCTGGGCTCGACAGCATTGGATGCTGTGCACACAGTTAATAGTGATTTCCAGGAGGTTAATGTGCTCAGTAGCTCCATGCCCCTTTTCCAGGTGGTGCTGAGCTTTTCATACACCCTTAGGTTTTCATACACCTAAGGACATGTGTTAAACAATGACTGTTTCCTTGAGACAAGTCATTAAGTACATGGTGTTTCCCATGACTTGGGCCATCCTTATTAGAAAGGCCAGCAAGGTGGCTTGGCAGGGAAGGACTGAGGAACCTATGACTCACCATGTCTCTAGATGTGTTTTTCCCCATGTCCATCTCCATATCTCCAGTGTCTTCCCAGACCACACTGGCTCAGTCAAAGCTTCTTTGATGGAGTGGCTGAATGCATGCATCAACTAAAACAACAATTTGCCCTCAACTTCTCTGCAGACCTTGTGGTAGGAAGAGGGAAGAGCCCAGGTTTTTTTGTCCTTTGCTACTTCTAGCTGTGTGACCCCAGCAAAATAGCCAAGCCATTTACTGTATTCACAGGGCTCCTAAACTGATATTGTTTCTCATCCCAAATGAATGAATATTAAGTCCTCTTTCTCCCCACCCTGCTGTTCCTAAAGAGAAGTTTGGATGCCTGTAGTAGGGAGAGGAGGCACCTCTGAAAAAACAAGGACACTGGCTCAGAAGAGCCCGCTAGACTAGGGTGACTTCTTTTGGCCTCAGTTAACTCATTTCTAGAAAGAGTGATAACTCCTTCCCTTTCTGAAGGAGGTGGGGGCAGAATTAGGTGAGCTCCTGAGGTCCTTTATGCTCTAGGATTCTGTGTGTGTATCTCTGTCATAACCCTAGAGTCAACAGGTATGTTACAGGTGACCCATCCCAATTCTTTACTTAATAACAGGAGTCTCTCCACAGCATGCCCTAAGAGCTGAGCCAACTCTGCTCAGATATCTCCAGCAATGGGGAGTTCAGTTCCCTCTTTGGAGAGTTTTGATGTATATGGAAGTAAAGTTTACCTCTTTTTAACTTCTGCCCTTTGATCTGCTCCTTTGGAATCTCTCAGAGAAAATAGAATCTATCTCCCATGTGACAGTGGTGAGATTAGATGCCCCACCGTAGTCCCTGGGATAGAGGCAGCAGGGTGACTGATGAGCGGGCTCCAGACTGCCTATGTTTACCACCTGTCTCAGCCTCATGCTCACTGTTTAACCTTGCATAAGTAACTGAGCCTCTCTGAACCTTGGTGTCTTCATCTGTAAAATGGGGGTTAGGAGGGTCATGGTGAGGATTCCACAAGATAATGTATATAATAGTTATAGGGTAATTCTCAGGGAGAGTCGTGGTGACTTGTCATCATTTTGTATGTACTTAACCCTGTGCCTGGCATATACTCTATTCATTTAGCTATATTTATTACCATTATCGTCATTATCATTTTCTCTTCTCCAAGTCTAATGTTCTCTGTCCCTTGGACCATTCATGAGGTGAAATGGCATCACATCCTTTGACCTTGGCTATCTTCCTTCCTTGTCCATGACATACTGCCGCTGCTGCATCAGCCCTGAGCACCATACCATCTCTCACAAATCCTGCCTCCTGAAAGCTTTGAACAGGGTATCATCACTAGTGTCCACTGTTACCTGTTAGATGCCCACCATGTGGGATCATCTTAAGTGAACTTATGTACTCAGGGTCACACACTAGAGCCCATGCAAGTTTTTAATTGGATTGCTTGATGTGCCACATGAAACTGGATTTTCCACTCCTGTTGAAGAATGAGAAATTCTGGCTGCACCAAGCCTGAATCCTTGTACCAGGCCCTGCACCAAATGTACAGGCTGCTTCCTTGAGACAGGGCATACCAGGACCACCCTTCACAGCCATTCAGGCTATATCCTGCCCCTGGGGCCTGGCTGAGGAGGGTGGGATCCAGCTGGTGCACTTGGAGGAAAAGGGAACCTTTGTGATGGGTTCCCTCAGAGGGCATCTTGTTCTGGTTGTATGGAGGTGTCATGCAGCCTCTCCAGCCTATAGTAGAACGCACCACTGCCTCTTTTGTGACATTCCTGCCTGGCCGCTTATAGATTTTTGACTTTGCGACCATCAGACTATACGGTTGTGCTTTGCAGTGTGGGTTAAGACATCTTCTTGACGCTCTTGCACCATCATAAATAATGTTCATGGAATAAGTGGGTGGCAAGGGCTTCGTGGGCCCCTGAAGAGAAGTTTGTGAGGTTTAGCTTCTGAAGGTATTCCGGTATTTTGCTCCAGATGCAGTTACAGCAAGGGATCGTGGCAGTCAATGGGACTGTGGCCTATGTTTCCCAGCAAGCATGGATCTTTCATGGAAATGTGAGAGAAAACATACTATTTGGAGAAAAGTATGATCACCAAAGGTAATATTAACTTTGAAACAATGAGGCACTTTGATATTTGATACCTTCTGCTATAGATGCTGATGTCATTTGTAATGCTTGCTCAGTGGGTTTCTTTAATGAATTCTGATTAAACATTCATCAGATCCAAATGGGTGTTGGTTTTTCTCTTCCTGACCCAAGAGTTCAGGAGAGGTGCTTTCTGCAGACCTGTGATCACACTCTGAGAAATGGATGAAATTGGCACTTCATTCCCAGTGCAGAGTAGCATATGTTCTGAGGTTTTCTGTAACAGTGCATATGTTGTCTGATTGGAGGAAGATATATCTGGGAATTTTGCTTTAGGCCAAGTAACCAAAACTGCTTGAAATCATGAGCAGCAGGTATGCAAATTAATCACCCCTGAAATTATTAATTGACATCACATCTATAAGGATATATTGCCGTTAATATACCGAAAATGATCTAATGGAAGAAAAATTTCAAGTCATAATTTTTGGATACAGTTTGGACCATTATTTTAAGCACTGGAAAGTAATAGCTTTCTATGATCCTTCCTGGATTTAGTATGCTGCCATGTACATTCTCTCATTAGAGTTCTATAAACACCTATTTAGGGAGATCCTGGCATCATATCCCCATTTTACAGATGAAGAGGTTGAAGCTCAGAAGGGGAGTTGACCCGCCCAAGGTCAAGGCTATTAAATGGCAGGGGTTGAGTCTTGAATACCAGGCCAACATCATTTGTTCTCACTGGAGCTTCCTGACATCTGGCTCCCCCTGAAGCCTCCCCAAGCTCCACGATGCTGAAGTAAAGACCAATGGAGTTGTTTTTTTTTAAAATTTGGCTGTCAGCTCCCCAGTGATAGTCTTGACTTTCATATTTTATTGTCTGAACCCACAAACTGTCCTTGCTGGCTGACATTGGCCAGCATGTGGGTTCCCAACAAGAGGTCTATTACTTCCCTTCCTCTTCCCTGGCCATGACATCCTATTGCCAGGAGACCCAAGAGCAGCAGAAAGGTCTGATCAGTGCAGGACTCCTTGGCACCAGCTAAACTGCTCTGCTCAGTGTTTCCGGGCCTCCTCCCCACCCCACCTGGAATGGTTTTTCTTTCTGTGGTAGCCAGCTAGGAGGAAGGATTCCTATCTTTATCAGGCAGAATGTCAGGGCACATATTTACCAAATACCTGCAGTTTTCAGGCTCATGCAGGATGATGGGGGAAAGAAGCGTGGCTCAGATGTATCTTTGCCCCTGAGGTGTTACAAGTCTGGAAGGGGCAGTAAGAGATGTATAGAAATAACAGTGCACCAAGAAGGAATGTGCCAAGTGTCAGGAGGTCCTGTTAGATTATTCAGAGGCAGCAGAGATCATGAGAAGGAAGAGAATGTGGTGCTTGAATTGGGTCTGGTAGAGTAGATCAAGGCACCCTTTGTGTGTGGCATCTCTAGGGTGACCATGGTGGCTCTCACGCCACAGGAAACAGGAGTATAGGAGGAAAGTTAAGAAGGGGGGTAGGGATGGCAAAGGAATGAAGAGGTGCTGAGCAATCTGCATCTCATAGTTAAAGATTGACAAAGGTAATAATATTAATAGTAACCACCACTGATGGAGAATTTGCAGTGCTCCAGGAATTGTGCTAATGGCTCTACACATGTGTTCTTGTTTCCTTCTCAAAACCCAATGAGAGTTATTAGCCCAATTTATAGAGGGGAGGGTGAGGATCAGGGAGGTACATTCACTTGTCCAAGGTTACCCAGCTGGATTCAAACACAGATTGTTCTGATTCCAAAGCCCCTGGTCTTTTAAAAAAGTTTTTTTATTTGAGTGTATTTGACACACAATGTTACATTAGTTTCAGGTGTACAACATAGTGATTCAGTTTCTCTATATGTTATGGTGTGCTCACCCCAAGTGTAGCTACCATCAGTTACCATACAACTCTATTACAGTATCATTGACTAGATACCCTGTGTTGTACCTTTCATCCCCATGACTTACTCATTCTATAACTGGAAGCCTGTACCTCCCACCAACCCCCTTCACCCATTTTGCCCACTCCCTTCCCCCACCTGCAACCATCAATTTGTTCTCTGTATTTATGGGTCTGACTCTGTCTTTTGTTTGTTTGTTCATTTGTTTTTTTTAAATTGCATATACAAGTAAAACCATATGGTGTTTGTCTTTCTTAGTCTGACTTATTTCATTTAGTATAATATCCTCTAGGCCCATCCGTGTTGTTGCAAATGGCATGATCTCATCCTTTTTTAAGGTCATGTAATATTCCATTACACACCATGTGCGTGCGCGTGCGCACACACACACATACACACTCATCACATTTTCCTTATCCATTCATCCATCAATGGACACTTAGGTTGCTTCCATATCTTGGCTATTGTAAATAATGGTGCAATAAACATAGGTGTGCATATATCTTTTCCAATTAGTGTCTTTGTTTTCTATGGGTAAATACCCCATAGTGGAATCACTAGATCATATGGTATTTCTATTTTTTAATTTTTGAGGAAACTTTATACTATTTTTCTGAGTGGCTGCACCAATTTACATTCCCACCAACAGTGTATGAGGGTCCCTTTTTATGCATATCCTCTCCAACACTTGTTATTTCTTGCCTTTTTGATTTTAGCCATTCTGACAGGTGTAAGGTGATATCTCATTATGGTTTTGATTTTCCTGATGATTAATGATATTGAACATCTTTTTATATGTCTGTTGGCCATCTGTATGTCTTTTTTAGAAAAATATCTATTCAGGTCCTCTGCCTATTTTTTAATCAGATTTTTTTTTTTTTTGGTATTGAGCTGTGTAAGTTCTTTATATATTTTGGATATTAGCCCTTTATTGGATGTGTCATTTGCAGATACCTTCTCCCATTCAGTAGGTTGCCTTTTTGTTTTGTTGATGGTTTCCTTTGCTGTGCAAAAGTTATTTATTTGTTTGTTTGTTTGTTTGTTTATTAGTGGGTCCAAATTCATGGCCCTGAGATCAAGACCTGAGCTGAGATCAAGAGTTGGATGCTTGACTGACTGAGCCACCTAGGTGCCCCCAAAAGTTTTTTATTTTGATGTAGTCCCAATAATTTATTTTTGCTTTTGCTTCTCTTGCCTTAGGAGACATATCTAAAAAAATGTTGCTACAGCCAATATCAGAGAAATTACTGCCTGTGTTCTCTTCTAGGATTTTTATGGCCTTAGTTCTCACATTTAGGTCTAATCCATTTGGAGTTTATTTTTGTGTATGGTATTATAAATTGACCCAGTTTCATTCTTTTGCACACAGCTGTCCGGTTTTCTCAGTACCATTTTTTTTAAAAAAGATTTTATTTATTTATTTGAGAGAGTGAGTGAGAGAGAGAGAGGGAGAGAGAGAGCATGAGCGAGCTGAGGAGCAGAGGGAGAAGCAGACTCCCAGCTGGCAGGGAGCCCGATGCGGGGTCAATCCCAGGATCCTGGGATCATGACCTGAGCCGAAAGCATACGCTTAACCAACAGCCACCGAGGCACCCCTCAGCACTGTTTATTGAAGAGATTGTCTTTTCCCATTGTATATTTTTGCCTCCTTTGTCATAGATTAAGTGACCATTTAAGTATGGGTTTATTTCTGAGCTCTCCGTTTTGTTCCTTTTATCTATGTGTCTATTTTTGTGCCAATACCATACTGTTTTGATTACTATAACTTTGTAGTATATCTTAAAATCTGGACTTGTGATACCTCCAGCTTTTTTTTCTTTCTCAAGGTTGCTTTGGCTACTTGGCATCTTTTGTATACAAAGATACAAATTTTAGTATCATTTGTTCTAGTTCTGTGAAAAATGCTATTGGTATTTTGATAGGGATTGCATTGAATCTATAGATTGCTTTGGATAATGTGGACATTTTTAATTCTTCCAATTTATGAGCACTGTATATCTTTCCATTTCTTTGTGTCATCTTCAGTTTCTTTCATCAATGTTTTATAGTTTTCAGAGTACAGAACTTTCATCTCCTTGGTTAAGTTTATTCTTAGGTATTTTATTATTTTCTTTGGTGCTATTGTAAATAGAACTGTTTTCTTAATTTCTCTTTCTGCTACTTCGTTATGAGTGTATAGAAATGTTACCAATTTCTGGGTATTAATTTTGTATCCTGCAACTTCACAGAACTCATTTGTTACTTCTAGTAGTTTTTTGGCGGGGTTTTTAAGATTTTCTATGTGTAGTATCATGTCATCTACAAATAATGACAGTTTAACTTCTTCTCTGCCAATATGAATACCTCATTTATTTTCTTGTCTGATTGCTGTGTCTAGAACTTCCAGTATTATGTCAAATAAAAGTGGCAAAAGTGGATATCCTTGTCTCATTCCTGATCTTAGAGGAAAACCTCTCAGTTTTTCACCATTGAGTATGATATTAGGTGTGGGTTTTTCATATGGCCTTTATTATGTTGAGGTATATTCCCTCTAAACCTAGTTTGTTGGGACTTTTTTTTTTTATTTGAACAGTGTTGAATTTTGTCAAATGCTTTTTCTGCATCTAATGAAATGATCATATGATTTTTAGCCTTCATTTTGTTGATGTGATGTACCATGTTGATTGATTTGCAAATATTGAACCATCCTTGCATCCCCAGAATAAATCCCACTTGATCATGGTGAATGATCCTTTTAATGTATTGTTAAATGGGGTTTGCTAATATTCTGAGGATTTGGGCATCTATATTCATCAGGGATATTGGCCTGTAGTTTTCTTTTCTTTTATAGTGTCTTTGTCTGGTTTTGATATCAGGGTACTGCTGGCTTCATAGAATGTATTTGGAAGCTTTCCTTCCTCTTCTATTTTTTAAGATAGTTTGAGGAGAATAGGTATTACCTCTTCTTAAATGTTTGGTAGAATTCACCTGTGAATCTATCTGGTCCTGGACTTTTATTTTTCAGTAGGTGGTCATTATTATTATTATCATTATTACTGATTTAATTTTGTTACTAGTAATTGGTCTGTCAAAATTTTCTTTTTCTCCTTGATTCAGTTTTGAAGATTGTATGTTTCTAGAAAAGTATCCATTTCTTCTAGGTTACCCAGTTTGTTGTCATATAATTTTTGTAGTATTCTCTTACAATCTTTTGTATTTCTGTGGTGTCAGTTGTTACTTCATTTCATTTCTGATTTTATTTTTTTGGGTCCTTTCTTTTTCTTGGCGAATCTGGCTAAGTGTTTATCAATTTTATTTATCTTTTCAAAGAATCAACTCTTGGTTTCATTAATTTTTTTTCTGATTTGTTTTCATCTCTATGTCATTTATTTCTGCTCTGATTTTTATTATCTTTTCCTTCTACTCCTCTTGGGCTTTGTTTTTCTTTTTCTAGTTACTTTAAGTGTAAGGTTAGATTGTTTATTTCAGCTTTTTCTTGTTTCTTAGGTAGGCCTGTATCACTATATGTTTCCCTGTTAGAACTACTTTTGTTGTGTCCAAAAGATGCTGAACCATGGTGCTTTTATCTGTCTCCATATATTTTTTTATTTCTTCTTTGATTGCTTCATTGACCCATTGGTTGTTAAGTATCATGTTGTTTAGACTCCATGTGTTCGTGTTTTTCCCAGTTTTTTTTTCTTGTGATTGATTTCTAGTTTTATTACTGTTGTGATTAGAAAAGATTCGTGCTATGATTTCAATCTTTTTAAATTTATTGAGGATTGTTCTGTGGCCTAATATGCAATGTATTCTGAGAATGGTTCATGTGCGCTTGAAAATAATGTATTTTCTTATTTTTGGATGGGATGTCCTTTATATATCTCTTATGTCCATCTGGTCAAATGCATCATTCAAAGACACTTTTCTTATTGATTTTCTGCCTAGATGATCTATCCATTGATGTACATGGGGTGTTAAAGTCTTTTACTATTATTGTAATACCATCAACTTCTCTCTTTATATTCATTAATATTTGCTTTATGTATTTAGGTGCTCCAATGTTGGATGCATAGACATTTACAATTGTTATATCCTCTAGTTGGATTGATCCCTTTATCATTATGTAATACCCTTCTATGTCTCTTGTTACAGTCTTTGCTTTAAAGTCTATTTTGTCTAATGTAAATATTGCTACCTTGCCAAATAGGTCTTAAACACCATATATATACCACTCCTAAATTTGGTGTATGGGCATGATGCTCAGGGCTCTGCCCAGCTTCTGTTCCAGGATGTTAAGTTCTGCCAGGGGTCAGCATGCCACCTGAAGGGCAGCTACCCATATCTGCCTGCTCACTCTCTTGTTGGTGCCTTTTATTGGGAGAATGTGTCCTGCAAAGTCTGAGTTGTGAGGCTTGCCCACTGTCATACATTGAGAAGAGAGGACCCCAATGATGCTGATGATGCTGCTGATATCAACCAGCTAATCAATCAATCAATTAATTAGTCAACTAATTAACCCTTGTGGAGGCAGGCAGCCTGTCAAGTGGGACAGAAACCTAGGGCCCAGTGGTGGGAACCAGCTGCTCCTTGCATAGGACATGAACTTGAACTGACACCAGGAACATCAGGGAATTCAGAGCAGGAACTAGTCCCTAAAGCAGTGACATGGTGTACTGTGGTGCCCTGGGAAACAGTCTATCTACAGTGCGGGCCATCTGAGCGGGAATGAGGCACAGAGAAAACCCAGGGAGGAGGGTGTGAAACTCTCCCATATCTTGAGGCCTGAGCATTTTCCAGTTCCTACCCACTAACTTATTGACTTTCCTGGATCCCTTGCTGTCCGAAGTTCCCAGGGAGTGAGACTGGGGTCATGCCTGGTAGGTCATGGGTCCCCCAGCTTTGCTGTCCTTTGCAGGATGAGGTGCTGATCCCAGCAGCATGGCTGCTGAGAGTTGGTTAGAGCCTTGCCCATTAGACTCCCTACAGACTGGCCCAATGCTAGATAGTGGGCAATGCTGAGGGACAAAACAAAGAAGCTAGGAGGTCCAAGGCACTGAGATCCTATTCCTGCTTGGCCTCTGTTTTTCAGGCAGTATCCTCTGTGCCCAGCGTACTCAGGTGTCTCAGGGGGAGAAAGCCCTGCTCTTTCCAACCTGGTAGGAGTGACTGGTGGATTGAGGAGTGTCCTGGAGCAGATGTCAGGGTCATCATTAGTAATCATCCCAGCACCTTGCTGTTAACCCTCCATACACACATTTCTTCCATTCACGGTCTTGCATCCTCTGGGAAGCCTCCTACATTGATCTCAGCTCACACTGGTCATTCCCTTCTCTGACTTCCAAGAGCAATGCTAGCAGTTGGTGCCCCCAGTTTTGCCTTCAGAAGTTTCATGTCATTGAATCATCTTCCCCTCAGGGCAGGAAGCCTGTGAGGGAAAGAGCCATCCCTGAGTCAACTCTGCATCAGGTGTGTGGGGAATGCCTAGGGGTCAAGGGGAGGCTTTGGACATCAAAGATGAAGCAACTGGCCAACTCCTTGCCTTAGCCCAGTGATACCGGCAATGGGGTCTTTTGTTACCATGCTTACTTCTGTCGTTTGTGTCCACAGGTATCAGCACACGGTTCGAGTCTGTGCCCTTCAGGAGGACCTGAGCAGCCTTCCTTATGGAGACCTGACTGAGGTGAGCAGAGCTAGGAGCTCAGTCACACTGCAGCAGCATGGCAGCCTGGCTGTCCAGGTTGAAAGTGTTGAGGCTGGCAGGCCCTGGTTCCATTCACATTTGGATGCCCTGGAAGACAGAAAGGTCCTGGGAAGTATGGGAAAAGCCAAGTTCTACCATCCTGAATTCTCCATCTGGGTTTATTCTGGGGGAATATTACAACAGATGTGGTACCAACTCTACCTGTGTTGGGTTCAGTGTGGTCACTCCTGGAGCCATTCCCAATCTGCCTGTTAACTTAGAGGTTTCTGGTGGAAGCTGCTTCCATATCTTATGGACTGGCTCTGTCCTCCAAACACAGAGGTCCAAGGATGCTGCATTGTGGCTGGAGTCTCAAGGGCCCCTTCTTGGCTTGTTTACTCTGCCCTCCAAACATTGCTTCCAGCTGCTTGTCCAGAAAGCTGCCTGGGCACAGGGTTGAACCTGCCAACTCAGGTGACCCAAGGTAGGGGGTCACCATGCCATCTTCCTGTTTCCCCATCCCAGTGTGTCCTCTGCTTAGTCTTCGACTTTGCCCAAAAGCAAAAGAGAGTCTTGAAGAAAGACGAGTTTGGAATACATTGCCTTTCTCTGCTAGGGCCCTCAATGTGCCTATGCAAGGAAATGGACACCACAGCCATCCTGGCCTGGCATTCATCTTGCTGCAGCCCTGGCCCACCTCCCCAGGGTTTGCTTCTACTCATCTCTACCTGCCTAAGTGTGCACTTGCCTTCCAGCCTCTAGACCTCTGTTCCTGCTATTGTTACCACCTTTCAGGTTCCAACCACAAATCCACCCCCTTGAGGGAGACTTTCCTGAATCCCACAGTCTGCAGTAATTTGCCCCAGAATACGTATCTTATGCTTCTCAGTTGGCAATTGTTAAATTCTGCTTTGTACCATCATTATGTGCATGACCATGCCTCCACTTTCTGCTGATATGTGAACTCCCAGTAGATAGGGGACTTTTTTGTCCAGCTTCATGCGTCCTTCCCCTGTGCTCAGCCCAATGCCTGGCTGAACATAATGGGGGCTCACTTTGGGGTCAGTTGGACAGAATAACCTAAAGTAGGTTATCTAGCTTTTCATCCTTTCTTACAAATACTTACTGAGCACCTGCTCTGGGTCAGGTGTGATGCCAGACCTTAGGGATATAGTGATAAACAAAGTAGACATGCCTTCTGTCTTTGTAGAGCTTAGAGGTTCTAGGGGAGGTGGGGAGTTGGTCCACAAGAAAGCAAATTGAGAGCCTCCTTGTCCATTTTCTCCCAGGCTCTGCTCCCTCCTGTTTACTTGTCCACTCTCCCAGAGCTTTCTGCTCAACAATTCCCTTTGGTGTTAGTGGTCAAGACATAGCCCGTCTCTATGGGCTATGCACTGGAAGGACAGGTCCCCCTCACTCAACATTGGAGTTTTTCTCTAGTTGCCACTGCCCACCAGGTTTCCTACAGAAGTGAGTCTTCCACTTCCCAGGGCATCTAATGCAGTCAGGGGGTCCTTGCGAAGGGTGGAGGATCTGGAATGTAGTAATCATCAGTCTGCAGAAGAGTCTTGAGAAGATTCAAGAAGCTCTAGTTCCCTTGAAGACTGCAGGGTGGGAATGGGGCCCAGAGATGGACAGTAACATTGCTCCTGTCTACAGATTGGGGAGCGGGGCCTCAACCTCTCTGGGGGGCAGCGGCAGAGGATCAGTCTGGCCCGTGCTGTCTACTCAAACCATGAAATCTACCTGCTGGACGACCCCCTGTCAGCAGTGGATGCCCACGTGGGGAAGCATGTTTTTGAAGAGTGCATTAAGAAGACGCTCAGGGGGAAGACAATCGTCCTGGTGACCCATCAGCTGCAGGTGACTGGGACTGGCAGGATTCATGAGGTCACAGGATGGGTGTGGCACCTAATGCTCACAGAGTCTCCTCTTCTGCCTAAATCTGTCCCATCCAAGGCTGGCGTCACCTGGACAGGGTCGGGGATGGAGAGAGCAAGGTGTGTAGGTTACATTCATGATTTTCCCCAGCCATCCCAGCTTGCACATAGCCCTGCCTACTGTTCTCTGGGCATAGCCTCTATTGGTTCTAAATTTGGGTTCAGTGGGGCCAAGTCTTTTTTCCACCAGAGGATAGACTCTCCAGAAGCAAATGACCCCTATCTATGGGGTGGACATGGGCCACTTCCTCCAGCTCTGGACCACTGACTGTGGGGAGGTGGGAAGCCAGGAGCATACAATTCAGGCCCCACCCTTCCTCCAGCAAGGGCTAGGTGGGCCTGAGGACAGGAGAGCCTGGGAGGGGGATAAGAGGCTCTGATGCCCTTGGTTAGAGACCAGGGCTTTTGGGCTAAGGCAAGACTCTTCCTTTCTCAGAGCCACCATCTTAGGCTTAGGAACATGAATCTTGCTGAGGAGTTACTAAGCTTGCCCTGAATGCGCTTGAGAATTGGGTAGGGTGGGGAGAGTTCTCACAGTGTCAGCCTCATCAAGGGTTCTGAATGCCTGGTAGAATACAAGACTCCCCTCTACCCTGAGACAAACCAGATTTCCCCCTGCCTCCATCTCCCCTCTCTACGGTGAGCCCCTATAGGTGTGGGGTATGTGTGTGTGTATATGTGTGTGTATATACACGTGTGCATCTCCTGCTGGAGGAGAGATCCCATGGGACTGACCTGCATTGAGAGGACTGTTGGAGCAGAAGTCCTATCTTCTCTCCTCTCCTGCTGCCTGTGGGGAAAATATTCAACAGGGGCCTGGTCTGAGAGTAAGAGGCAGACCTCATGGTCTTTGCAAGGGTAAGTCAACCTAGGGGAGGGGGAGGCAGATGAGATCACCATGGCTACAGGGTGCTCTAACCAGCATTTCTAGGATCTTCTATCAGTGGCCAGAAGGGCCAGCTTGAAGAGGGGGAAGTTTCTTAAAGACCCAGGAAAACCATTCCTTCCCATTGCTGTAGTTTTGCCCCCAGCTTGTATCTCTTTGCTTGAGACTGGAGTTCTCAGAATAAGTTCCAAGCATCTGAATTTTGGGTTCCCTCTGAGTGGGCTCAGTCACCTCCAGGAAGCATCCAGTGTGGTGCCGACAAGTTACTCTCCTGGCCAGGCATCAGAGTGGAAGAGAAGGTTGGATTTCTTCTGGACCCCCATGAGGTCAGTGGGAAGGGGCTCTTGCCCAGCCAGGGTGCTAAATGTTGTAACCACAGCTCTGCACCGTGAGGGTCCAAGCCCTGGAGACCCCCTGCAGTGGGGAGGGCTGTCCTCCTGAGGGGTCCTGGGGATCTGGAGGGAGACTTCTGGCCCCTGACAACTGTGGGTCATAGTTGTCTTTGCAGGAATCTTCACTGGGGGGAATCGTCTCCTCAGCCCTGGTCCAGTCTTTGAACCTTGATGACTAGAAGCATGACCTCAGGCAAGAACTATCTTTTCCCCAGGCCTAAGTCTCTTCAAAGAGTCTACCTTTCACCAAGGTCATTTTCTCTTTCTTTGAGTGTTTAAAAATGCAAGCAGCCACCAGATGGCACTGGAGTTTCAGTCCAGCTGTCCGTTGTTGGGGAGGAGGGGGCTCCGAGCCCCTGAACTGAAGCCCCAGGACTTTTCCAGAATAGTGTTCCACTGCTTTTACTCTCCGGCCCACAGCCAATCCGGATGCTTCCAGTGCTTGGGCTGGGCGATTGCTCTTCTTTTCCATGAGGAAACAAATGAAAAGAGGCCTGCGGTCACTACTGAAAACCAGCCCAGGGTCAGATTTTGAGAGTTTGCAGAACAAAGCTGCTCAAATCACGCCAGATCTCACTGGCATGAACTGGGGGGCTCACTAGCCAGAGGGCCTTCACCAGGAACTTCTGGGGCTAGAATGTGGGCCCCCAGAGAGGAAGAAAAGGCTGTGAGGCTGCCATATACCCCACACTGGTGCCTCAGTTTCCCTATCTGGAGAATGGGCTGATAACAAAGCTGCCACTTCCTTTACTGGCTTGTGGGAGATTGAGACATAAGAGCCAAACTTTGAAGATGAGGCTTTGAAAAGCTAGAAGATGCTATATAAAGGAGAGAGGTTATTTTCAGGAAAAAGGTTCTCAGAAAGTGTCTCAACTGGACATTAAAAGCTAGGCTGTTGCTGCTTAGCTATCTGGGAAAGTGGACAAGGAGCTGAGTCATTAGTCCAAGGGAGGCAGAAAGGCTGGAGCTGCCCAAGCTGTCAGAACTGTTGTCATCTGGTCTTTTGGGCACCACCCTCATTCCCCCAACACCCCATCGGGAGTGCAGTGACCAAATGTAGCTGCTTCTCTCAAGCTTTGAATCAGTGGACCCCAAATTTAGGGGAAGACCTCTGGCCTGTATTGCAAAGGCTTCGTTAGGCTGACCCATCTTAAATCTCACAGCATTTTGCTCCTCTAGGAGGGGCTTCCTGCTCTTAGATGGGTTGATCCTATGGAGAGAAATCTATCTCGTTTCAAATAAGAGGAAAGCCCTATTAGCAGAACTCTTTGATCTCAGGAGTGATATGTAAATGAAGGGAACTCAAATTAGAAAAACAGAAGTGCTTTGGGCAAAATGTGGCTATATTTTTATCATACAGATAAAGCTGGTGTAAACTCCTCAGGCCTGGTGTGGTGGGGGGTGGTCAGGGGAGGAGTAGGGCCTGGTGGCCGGAGACTGCTCCATGTTCTGCTTCTCCTGGGCTAGATGAGGATGATGAGGTGGGCTTGTAACGTCATACCAAAGGAAGGTCATTGCTGAGGTCTCCACCAGATCTTGTCTTGCAGTAACTTGTCAGTTTCATATTCCAAATCCCAACTGCCCCCTGATCAGATTTCTTAGCAGGGCAGCTCATTTTGGGAACAGCGTTTCAAGTGACAACCAGAAGCCCCCTTTGTACTCAAGACACCAGTAGGCACTAGATCAGTGCTTCTCAACTGGTGGCCATTTTGCCCTTTAGAGGGCTTTTGTCAATAGCTGGAGACATTTTTGCTTATCACAACTGGGGTCAGGGGGTGCTACTGGCATCTAGGGGGTAGAGGGAAGGAGGAGGCTGCTAAATATCCTACAATGCACAAGACAGCCCCTGTCCCTGCCCCAACAACAAAGAATGATCTGGCCCTCAGTGCCAACAGTGCCAAGGTTGAGAACCTCTGTACTAGAGGAGATTGGGATGCCACTGGAAGGAAGTTTGGCATGGCACTCTTCTCTTACTAGGCAGAGGTTCGCTGTAGATCATTTTAATATCTTTGCAGTTCTTGGAGTCTTGTGATGAAGTCATTTTGTTAGAAGATGGAGAGATTTGTGAAAAGGGAACCCACAAGGAGTTAATGGAGGAGAGAGGGTGCTATGCAAAACTGATTCACAATCTCCGAGGGTTGCAATTCAAGGTAACTCTTTACACCTGGGTGTAAGAGATGGGGTCCTTCCCTCTCAATCTCTAGCCTGGAAGAAGTCCTGTCCTGTAGCTTTCAGAAGGACTGTCATTTTGTCTCCAGGATCCTGAACACATTTACAATGCAGCAATGGTGGAAGCCCTTAAGGAGAGCCCCGCTGAGAGAGATGAAGATGCTGGTACAATCGAGTTTGAACCACTCCTCTCTTATTGCCCATGGCTCATGAGCGGACACAGATCTCTCTTTATTTCTCACCCTAGCTCTGGCTCCAGGAGATGGGAAAGATGAAGGAAAAGAACCTGAAACGGATTCAGAATTTATAGACATAACAGGTATTTGCTATTTGTTCCCTCAGTTATATAGTCTTAAATATTTGTTGAGCATTCTGGATAGAGAAATGTAGGCACATTGTAAGTCCTTTGGGGGCAGCTAGAATTAATACAGCTTACTGTCATGTGAGCCTTGGGATTCAACTGCCTGAGTCCAAACTCTGGCTGAACTACTTACTAGTTTTTTTTTTTTTTTTTTACTACTTACTAGTTTTATGAGTTGGCACAAGATACTTGTCCACTCTGAACCTTAGTTTCTTAATCCATAAAATGGGGAGATAATAACCAACCTCATAAATTCTTGCAAAGATTACATGAGAAACTGCACATAAAATGATTAGTCCAGTGTCTGATGTATAGTAACTCTCAACAGTTGTTATTATTGTTATTAGAGAGGTCAAAGCAGTGCACAAAGATTGGTTAGAGGCAAAAGCACACACAAGAGAGATGTGTCACACTCTTTATGGGGAGCGTTGAGAAAGCAATGTGCAGCACTGAAGAGACTGGGTGGGAGGACTAACCATTCTGCTATGTGCTGGGCACCACACTTGTCTGCATAGACAAAAATATGAGATCTCAGGATCTCATGGTCAGGTGGGCAACACACTCAAGGGGACAATCCTGGGAAACTGGGATAAGGGTAATGGGAAGTTGGAGTGGGCATTAACAAGTCAGGGAGGGCCTCACAGAGGTGGCAACCTTGGGACTAGTCCTTCGAGGATATGTAGACATTTTCTGGGGGCACTGTGGTGAGAAGGTGGGGAAGGGGGAGGATTTTGAGGCTGAGGGCAGGAAGGAATTCCAGGAAGGCAGAGAGAAGAGATGTGGGAGATAAGATAAGCCTGGTGTGGGTCAGCCTCATCAAGCTCCCTCTTCTCCTCCCCACACACTGTTCCCTTCCACCCCAATATCTGTTCAACACTTGTTGAGCACCTACTCTATGCCCTTCCCCGGGGCTGGGCACGGAGAGGGCAGGGATCCAGATCCACTGTCTCTTTCCTCAAAGTGCCATTGGTGGCTTTCCAAGTTAGAGCTCTATTCCTCAATAATGTGTAGCTGAAAAAAAAAAAAAAAACAAACCTCAGTGTATTTCATCAAATTTAAGATAGCATCCATTTTAAGATCACCATCGTTTTATGTACCACTTAGAAAGAAAAATCTCTGCCAATTAGATGATATGGCATACTACCGAATGGAAGGCACATCCTGATTTCAGAGATGTTAAAATGTGAGAAAAAAAAAATGTGAGTCTTTGAATCGATGAAATTTGGCACCATTAATGGTGCTTGTGACAAATGCATGCACGTTTGGAAAGACAACATATTTTTATCGCTCTGGAGGCGGCCAAGGCTGAAGTGAGGTACCCACCATCTCTTCCATGCCTTCCTAGGAAAGCTCCAGGCTGCCTAGGATGTGAGGTCTTGTGGAGAAAGTAAACCCTGCTCCTCTTTTTCTCCTCACCCCACTTCTCTGGAGGGGATACTGAGCGTGTGAAATCACCTGCTCTGAAAGCTATAGGAAGGGAGCCAGTTAAAGGCGGCTGTGCCCACCACGCCTGGCATCAGGGCATTTTCTAGAGCACAGCAAGCTGAAGAGCATCATCAGCGCTCCTGGCTGGGCTGGTGGGCTACAGTGGGATTTGACTAGTTCCCTTTGTGCTCCACGATGCCTTTCATTAGGCTCAGGCGACCCACTGAGGCATCTCCCTCATCTTGCAGGCCCAGAGAGAGACACAATGAGAGGAAGTCAGGCTGAGCACTTTCAAAGAAGCACGAAGGTTCCCAGGCAGAGGGTATAATCGTAGCTCTATTCATGGCACCTTTGAGGTGTGACGGTTATTCCTCTTGGAGCAAGGTGCAGAGAGCCCACGCACGCGCAGGGGGACCCCTGGGTCTAGCTCTATTTATCTCTGTTTATAATAGCCATGTACGGTTTAGGATTCTGCTTTGGAGCTGACATTTTCATGCTTGTCTGTGAAGGAGAGGAAGGAGACAAGTACTCAGTTCTGACTGTTGGGAGCTGCTTGACCCAGCATCCCTGAACCTCTGGATGTGCTTTCCATGAGAACTTGACAGTCATTTTCCCTTCCCTTTGGAATGTGGAGAGGACTTGGAACAGCCCCGTGGAGGGGATCGGGAGTCCAGGCAGCGGCTGACTGAGGAGGATGCCCTGGGTTTATTCTGCAAGGCATGAGCTCTGAGAAGACAGGAGCCACCTCCTTCTTGTTCACCCTTCAGTAGTTGCTGTGGGTGCCTTTAGCACTTCAGTGCCTGAAGCCGGACTCCCAGCTGTATTCTCTTGCCTGGGGGGCTCTCTCTGCAAGCTGCCAGCCTCAGGTTAAGCTAGAAGGGCTGGGGAATTAAGCCCCACAGGGAGGAGCCCTCACCCAGGGTCCAGTGGGATTTGTAGAAATATCCTCTATCCGTCTGGTCAGATGAAAACCTGTGACGTGGGTGTTCCACACTGGCTCCGACACTTCTCTACATAGGATTAAGCTCCAGTTGCCCACAGGGCTCGCTGGCTTGATGAGATGCCTTCTGTTGTTCCCTTTCCCATGCCCTACAGCTCCTGAATAAACTGCGTGCATTCATACCCCCCTCTTAGGAACTACTTCTGGAGAACTAGACCCAAACAACCCCTGTATCCCAGGGCTGAGCACATAGTAGTTGCTTCATAAATATTTCTGGAAATACTGAAAGCCCCCTGCCTTACAGGGCTGTGATAAGGATCAAATCAAATAACATGAGCAAAAATGTGTTGGGAATTTCAAAGTGTAGGACAATGGAAGGAAGGGTGGAAACTGCCCCCGTTGGGGGTGTGGATATGCAAGAGGGGTGTGTCTGACCCACTGGGCTCCCTCCCGCCCGCCGCCAGCAGGCGCCACAGGACTTGTGTCTGTCTCCGTAGTTCCTCTGCACCAGCTCGTCCAGACTGAATCCCCTCAGGAAGGAACCGTGACCTGGAAAACGTATCACACGTACATTAAGGCTTCTGGAGGTTCGATATAAAACAACGGGTTTCTTGATTTAATTTGCATTAGAAAATCCTTTCTCAAACTGTTGGGTTCACGTTTTATGATTTCCTTAACAATTACTCCTTTTATGTTAGAGCTATTTATCAATGCTTTTATTTTTTTTTCCATCTGAAGTCTGATAATACAGCCTTTTAAATGGAATCACCCTTTATCTCCATTAAAGCGGCCAGACTCTATTGAAACTGAGTGAGCAGCAGCATGAACCAGCCGTGGTTCTTCCGCACCTCGCTGCCTTTTCACTGAGCACTGCAGCAGTCTGCTCATGGCCTGCCTTAGTGCAAGGTCCCCATCTCGATATGCAAAAATACCTTCCAGTTTTATTCCCTGTCTCTGCCCAGCAAGACTGAGCTTTTGTTTGTTTTTGAAGAACACTGAGTTGCTTCTATTAAGGTGCATATTGGTAGTTTTTTTCAATATATTGGCAATTTGGACCCATTTTCCAACCAGGTGGAACACATGTCCCCTTCAGGGTTCAGGGTCACACCCCCCAGACTTGTGACAGTAGCCTGAAAGGCAGTTCCCAGGGGTGGGGGCCCTCTTCCTGCAGGCTTTGAATTTTCTATCAGGGCTGGGCCTTGTAGTCCCCTCCTCTGTAACCCCCTGGACCCCTCCTCTCCTCTTGTAGGGTACCTCCTCTCTCTGTTCGCTGTGTCCCTCTTCCTCCTGATGATCGGCAGCTCTGCCTTCAGCAATTGGTGGCTGGGTCTCTGGCTAGACAAGGGCTCACAGGTGAGTTTCCCTTTGGCATTGGAAAATGATGAGTCAGTTGCTGATGCAGAGCATGAATGCACCCAACACCACACAATGAACCTCCCACTGCCTCTTTCCATGAAGTTGAGATCAGTTGCCTGCACAGTTCAATTCCTGAAATTCCCTTTGGTTTTGCAAGACAGGCAGGGCATCTGGATTTTTATGTGCCACCTTCAGATTTTAAAGGACTGACTAAAAAGACTGTGATTGTGCCAGCCAAATGCAGCATGTCTGTGGAGTCATGCCTGTGTAGGATAGAGTCAGTCTTGAAGCCTCCATTGTGAGGCACCTCTGAGGATGGCCGTGGAGGGGCCGGGGAAACCTAGCATGGGTTTTAATCTTCCTGCCTCTGAACAGAAACTGACATCTTATTGTTGACACTGTCAGGTGTCAGAGGGTTTCATCTCTCTCTGCCCTCCAAAGTCCCTCTACAGGAACTAGACATGCAAAAGCCAGACTCAGTTCCTGGTTGTGCTGCAGAGCTACCCTGTATCTTTCTGAGACACCAGGTATCTGCCACCCAAGGGTCTCCTCTAGACCAGGGCCCCTCCTGGAAAGGACTGATAATTCTGCTCTTGCTGGAGCTTGATAAAAACTCTCCCAGCTTTTGGCCAATGGTTTCTAAGCTTTCCTGGAGCCCCTGGGAATGGTGTGGGCCCATCTGCAAGATGACATTTTGGTATAGTTCTGTTGCTATGACAACAAAAGTGGGAAGGCACTGGGGAGATGTGGGCAGGGGAGAGGTCACCATAGCTCTCCTGGAAGTTGGCACAGCTTCCTGAGGGCTTTCCCAAGGGGAGAAGCCAGTAGGTGCTCTGCACTGTGTAGGAAGAGCACCATTTCTAGAATATTCTCCCAGATCCTCCCTGACTCATTAAGAGCTCTTTCCCTGGAGAGCCCAAAGTTTCTGGTCAGGATGGAACCTCCCCCTAGGTGTGGTGCTTCCCCAGTGGGCTAGTGCCATTGGCTAATTGAGCAGCAGCAGTAATGGCAGACCCAGGCATTTGCCCTGCCCCCAGACACTGTGGGCACAACTTGATGCACAGTGAAGCCTCAAGCTGGGCCTTTCATCAATTAGCTCCCCAGGGATGCTTTTGCTTTTATGGATATTCATCCATCAGCCGTCACCTCTGGTTTACATTTCCACTATTGCTGTAATCAGCAAAATGGCATTTAAAAGAAAGATGCTTGTTTGCTCCCCAAAGGCAGTCTTGACTTTCAGCACATGGCTCAGAGAAAAATGAAGCTGCCAATTTCTCAGGAGGAGGAGATGGCCTCTCCCCAGAAGTGCTAGCAGAAATGTGTGTTCTCCCCCCAGCAGGATGGAGCCGCATGTGGTCTTCTTGAATCTTCCCAGAGCCCTGAGGTTCACCAGGCTCCCTCCGCCCCTACCAGGGACTTCAGGGCAGTGGACCAGTTCCCCCCAAGGTGCTCCTTGAGAAAAGGAAAGGGAGGGGACTGTGGGGTTGGCTTGATATCCTGTCCTGTATGGGCTGCCTGAGGGCTCTTCAGCCAGCCTCACGGAATCCAGATTTCCTGTGCTTCTGTAATCTTCCTGGCCCAGCATCACCTCTCATCTTTGATGCGTAGTTCGCTCCTGGGACAGAAGTTATCTGGCTGCCCTGTGCCTGCCTGGTTTGTCTGCTTTGCTTGCCCACTGACTGTGCCGAGCCTCGAGCCTCGTAGGTCAGGTGCCTTGGCGGCAGGGAGCCCAGCAGGAGGACCCAGGCAAAGTGCAGAGGTCCTCAAAGGGAAGTGACCTGATTTTACAACCTGGTTCATTCTTCGCAATCATGTACCTCCTTTGTTTCTTCTCTCCGGAAAGATCCTCTGGCCAATTCCCACTTTCCTGACAATTTACCAATTCTTGGTGCTTCTCTTGTTTTTCTCCGAAGATGACCTGTGGGCCCCAGGGCAACGAGAGTGCGTGTGAGATGGGCACAGCGCTGGCAGACACAGGGCAGCACGTGTACCCATGGGTGTACGCAGGGAGCATGGTGTCTGTGCTGACCCTTAGTGTCATTAAAGGTTTCACCTTCACCAAGACCACACTGATGGCGTCCTCTTCATTACACGACCGCGTGTTTGACAAGGTACCGCTCCCAGGGGCTGCACGCAATTCCAGTCGTTGAGTCAATAGCATTTACTGAGCACCTATGACACACCAGGCACTGTGCTGGGCTCTGGGCACAGACACATGCTCAAGGGGCTTACAGTATCTACTGTTGACTGTGAAGGCAAACTCCGGGGACTGTGGGGATGTGTCAGGGGCCCTCAGGCTAGACTGGGGGTGGAGGTGAAGGTGGTCAGGAAGGTTTCCCTGAGGACACTGCACTGCACTGGAACAGACATGTGCTGGCCAGCAGGCCATCTCCAGCTCCAAAGAGCCCTGAGTCCACAGATGGCCTCCAGAAGTGCTTCTGGCCACCTCCTCATTCCACTGCTGCAGTAGGCAGAATTGATTTATTTTATTGATTTATTTTATTGCCAGGGCCCTGGCCGGAGCCCACAGGTGTGGCTCACACTAGGCAGAGAGACACAGGGGAACTTAGCTTTTTATTGCCCCTGGGCACAAAATACCCCCTTCCTCCCAAGGCACCCCGGGCTGCATCCCAGGTTTGGAGGGAGGCCTGACCTGTGGGAGCTCTCCCTGGGGCTCCACACACAGGCTGAATCTTTCCCACACTCTCATTCACCGGGGGCATAAGAATGGGGTGCACCCTCACTTTCCCAAGATGGCCTGGGACACAGTGTTAGGCCCTGGAAAAATGCTCAAGCTGCTCGAAGTATCCCAGCCCCAGCATAGTGGTCGGTGTTTCCTAAACACACACCTCATTTTGGACTCTGATTTTATCCACAGATCCTAAAGAGCCCAATGAGCTTCTTTGACACAACTCCCACTGGCAGGCTAATGAACCGTTTTTCCAAGGATATGGACGAGCTGGATGTGAGGCTGCCATTTCACGCAGAGAACTTTCTGCAGCAATTTTTTATGGTGCTGTTTATTCTTGTGATATTGGCTGCTGTGTTTCCTGCTGTCCTTTTAGTCCTGGCCGGCCTTGCTGTTGGCTTCTTCATTCTTTTACGGTAGGTCGATGCACTATTTAAAAAGGAGCACATGAAACCTTTATGTATTTGGTTAACTCTGCTCAATGACGGGGTAGTATCAGGTGATGCAGAATCCTTGCTGTCTTCTCTGACTGTGGGAGCATATTGATTTTTAGTCTCGATGAAATGCCAGGTGCTACGCTCAGTGCTTTGCATACATCTGGCATTTTAACCTCAGAGTAACCCTGAGAGGTGGGCGTGATTGGGAAGGTTAAGTCAGTGGTCCTAGGCCAGGAAACTAGTAACCATGGTTGCTGTCTGTCTGCTGTTGTGTCCTCAGTCACGGAGCTCTCTCTGCCATCCTGTTGCTGGAGAAGAGAGAGAAGACCAGTCCTTAGTCACTCTGAGCTTTGGGAACTAGCCCCCACCCTAACTGCTGATATGGTTAGAGAAAAGCTTCAGGCAGCTAGGCACTGGGGAGTCCTGCTGAGGCTGTGCCCCATTGCTACTTCCTCACCCACCTTGGAGGGAAGCAGGAGGGTGGATTGACCCCAGCCCTCGAGGAACCCAGTTCTTCCCTGTTGCTGGGGTGAGCTGGAGCTCTCAGCGGGCAGCATGGTCGGTATTGTGTAAGGCCAGATGGTTGGAAATCAGAGAAATTTGCACCAGACCCCCAGCCCTACTGCAAAACTAGCTGGAGGACCTTAGGGCAAGCCTGTTTGCTCATCCCTAAAGGTAATCGTTAAAACGTACACCTGGCACATGAACCAGGGGGTTATTGTGAGGATCAAATGAGACTATAGGACTCTAAGTGGCTTATAAATTAAAAATGGAATACAGTTGACCCTTGAACAACATGAGTTTGAACTGCTCATGTCCACTGATATGTGGACTCTTTTTTTGATAAATACAGTACCATACTATAAATGGTTTTTCTCTTCCTTTTGATTTTTTTAATGACTTTCTTTTCTCTAGCTTACTTTATTGTAAGAATATAGTATTTAATACATATAACAAAATATGTGTTAGTCGACGTTTATGTTATTGATAAGGCTTCCAGTCAACAGTAGGCTACTAGTAGTTAAGTTTTTAGGGAGTCAAAAGTTATATGCAGATTTCCAACTGCATGGGGGATTGGCGCCCCTATCCTTGCACTGTTCAAGGGTCAGCTGTACAATGTTATAGAAACTTTGAGTTTTCATAAAACTCAACAATATGTTTATTATGCTCCTAGATGTGCCGAATTTTGGGCTGGACACTGAGGGTCTCAAAGAGGGTCCCCCAAATTGTAAAGGATTCAGCCCCAAATCCTGGACCTGCCTCCACCTGTAAGCAAGTTTGTTTTCATCCAGGGACACCACACTCAGAACTGAGTTTTAGAAATATCACTTTGGCCCCAGTGTGGAGGATGGATGGAGCTACAGAAAGATCAAGACCAGGGCTATGGGATGAGAGACCCTTGAAATGTAGAGTCTGAATGAGAGATGAGACAGGCAGAAGCAGTAGGGGACAGAAAAGAGGGGTGGATTTAGGAGCCATTTCTGAGATGGTCTTTGGGGTTGGGGGATGGGAGAGTCCAAGGATGGGTCCAAGATAGGGAGTGACGTGAAGAGAGATACAGGTGATATGGGAAGAGAAGCGGTTTGGGTAATCAAGTCTGTGGGCTTACATTTGGATGTTTGTAGTTTGTGGGTCAAGTCCACAGATGGTGCCAACAGACAGTGGGAAGGGAGGGTCTAGGGATGCACTGGGGCTGGAGAGGTGGACTCTGTATCCTTGGCTTCTGTGTAGGAGCTGGTGTGACTGTGAGAACTAGCACCAGTGCCCTGGGCTCTCTCTTTGGTCTCCCACTATCTCCCTGGTGACTCCAAGAAAGGTCACATGGCCTCACTGTCCAGCCTCAAGGGTTTATTGTGATGACCCAATAAAATACTTTCTCCAAGTCCTTTGCAAAGATAAAGATGTCTTGGATACCACTTCTTAAAATGGACTCCTTGGCCTGGTGCTTGTTTTTGTAATCCCTGTGTTTGACCGACCATTGTTTCCGTCTGTTCTCCAGTTTATACTGTTGATTTACTTAGCAAAAGTTTTTCTCTGCTCTGCACCCCTCCTTCTTGCTACAAAGACAGGCCAGACCATGGCTGGCTATGACTGAATCACCTAAATATTTCCAGCTAACTCACTTGAGCTCTGAGCTAATGAGGTTTTCCTTCCTCTCCCCCAGGTAGTTTTAGCTGAGAGTCTGGAGGGCAGATTTGATTCGCTGTCATGGGCCAGCCTGCCAATGTGCATGCCTGAAGGCAGTAGTCTGGTGCTCAGCAGGGTCCTGGAGCTTCAACACCCAGGGGAGTTGCATCCTATGGAGGGGTTTGGTTCTAAGGTCAGCTCCTGAGGCTATGATTCAAATTACCTTTGAAAATGCCTTTAGAAGACCACGCATTGGCAGTTGAGGACCAGATTTTCCTCTAGAATTGGAAAAGATCACTTTTTCTTTGGTTGGGTCCCAAAAAGTGGTTGGCTTGTATTAGGAGCTGCATTGTATGAAAATTTCTGGTCTTCAAAGATTGGAATCACATCTCCTGCAGCGAGACACTCATGCTACAAGAAGCACTGAAAACTGAGACCACAGCAAGGAATGGCTCACATTTCTGAGACTCCCTTCCTTCCTTCCTCCCTTCCTCCCTTCCTCCCTTCCTCCCTCCCTTCCTCCCTTCCTCCCTTCCTCCCTCCCTCCCTCCCTCCCTTCCTTCTTTCCTTCCTTCCTTCCTTCCTTTCTTCCTTCGTAGTTTCAGGTTTAAATTCCAGTTAGTTAACATATAATGTAATAATAGTTTCAGGAGTAGAATTTAGTGATTCATCACTTCCATACAACAGCCAGTGCTCATCACAAGTGCCCTCCTTAATGCCCATCACCCATTCAACTCATTCCCCCACCTATGTCCCTCCATCAACCCACAGTTTGTTCTCTATAGTTAAGTCTGTTTTATGGTTTGCCTCTCTCTCTTTTATTTTCCCCCACGTTCATCTGTTTTGTTTATTAAATTCCACATATAAGTGGAATCATATGGTATTTGTTTTTCTCTGACTGACTTCACTTAGCATAATACAATCTAGCTCCAACCATGTCATTGCAAATGGCAAGATTTCATTCTTTCTTGATGGCTGAGTAATATTCCAGTGTGTGTGTGTGTGTGTGTGTGTGCACACGCGTGTGTGTATACCACATCTTCTTTATCCATTCATCAGTCGATGGACATTTGGGCTCTTTCCATAATTTGGCTATAGTTGATAATGCTGCTATAAACATCACAGTGCAAGCATCCATTTGAATCAGTATTTTTGTATCTTTTGGGTAAATACCTAGTAGTGCAATTGCTGGGTAGTTCTATTTTGAACTTTTTGAGGTACCTCCATACTGTTTTCCAGAATGGCTGCACCAGTTTGCATTCCCACCAACAGTGTAAGAGAGTTCACCTTTCTCTGCATCCTTGCCAACATCTGTTGTTTCCTGTGTTGTTAATTTTAGCCATTCTGACAGGTGTGAGGTGATATCTCACTGTAGTTTTGATTTGTATTTCCCTGATGATGAGTGATGTTGAGCATCTTTTCATGTGTCTGTTAGCCATCTGGATGTCTTCTTTGGAAAAATGTTTATTCGTGTCAGAGACACATTTCTGAGACCCCATCTGTCCCACAACCAGGATAGCCTGTCCTAGAGGAGAGTGGTGGGCCAACCCCTTCTCCCTAGTTATATGGCATCCATCTGACTTAAACTTTGTCTTGAGTGCATAGTTGGACCTGTGTGTGCTAAGAGCGAGCCCTCCAAGACCCCATTTTGTGGCCCTCTTGATTTACCCACAGCATTTTCCATAGAGGAGCCCAGGAACTCAAGAAGGTGGAGAACATCAGCCGGTCTCCTTGGTTCTCCCACATCACTTCATCCATGCAGGGCCTGGGCATCATCCACGCCTATGACAAGAAGGAGGACTGCATTAGCAAGTGAGTCCAGTGCCGGGCCCCTGCTCCAGGGCTCCCCACTTCACCCCTGACCCTGAATGGGAGGTAACAGGAATAAATGGCTTCTCTGGCTCTGAGCAAGGAAGTCTGGGATGCTGGGGACTCAGTTTGTGAATTGCTGGCAGAATCAAGAAGGAGCAGTCTAAGGCACTAGAACTTTCTCCCTAGTATCTGGGGCCCCAAAAGTGGTGAGCTCATTCAATGACAACCTCAGCATGTGAATTTACGTGTTTTATTTTTTGCACTAGAAGCAAAATGTGTCCAATTCAGGAAAGTAGGAGAAAGCAGGAAAAAGAAGGAAAAAAATCACTCATAGGTCCCCAACCCAAATCCCATTAGTATATTCATATATTTCCTTCCAGTCTTTCATTTTTTCTATTTCTTAAGTACTCATAATCATGTTTGTCTCATTTTATTTTTAAATGGCATTTTTTAAATGTTATAACATATTTCTCATAAAAATAAATTTTAAAGGCCATATTATATTTTACTTGATGGATACAGCACTTTCCTTCTTTTTAAAATGTGGGGACTAGATGAGTAAATTTCTCTGGAGTCTTCCAGCTCCAAACTTCTAAAATACAGTATAAATTGTATCAACCATGTAGGCTCACTGTGGTAGCAAAGACCTCCAAATTTTAGGGGCTTAACACAGTATGTGTTTATTCTTCCTAGAGTCACATTTTAATGAGAGTCCATAGGGCAGGGGAAAGGGTGTTGTTCTACCTGGGGCTTTTCCATCCTGAAGGCCTTGGGGGTCTTCTCCAGGATCCTCTGTGTCTAACTGAAAGATAAGGTGAGGAATGGATGCAGAACCTCATGGGAAATTTTTATGGGTTAACTCTAATGAAGATACTCATCATTTCTGCACACTCATTGACCAGACTTCATTCATATGGGCTCACCAAACTGCAAGGGAGGCTGGGAAATGGAGTCCAGCTGTGCCCATAGGAGGAAAAGAAAATGGAGTTTGGTGAATCCATAGCAGTATCTGCCACATTGGGTGTTCCATTTTGTTCTGTTTGTTTGTTTGTTTCCCTATATTTTCCCACCTTAAAAACCTAAAGCTTGGGGCACCTGCCTTCAGCTCAGGTCATGATCTCAGTGTCCTTGGATTGAGCCCCACATCGGGCTGTCTACTTAGTGGGGAGCCTGCTTTTCTCTCTCCCTCTGCCTGCTGCACTGCCTGCTTGTGTGCTCTCTCTCTGTGTCAATAAATAAAATCTTAAAAAAAAAAAAAAACCTAACACACACTCCAAGTTTGGGTCTAATTCTCTCTCTCTCTCTCTCTTCCCATACTTCGCTACCTAGGATTTCAGTGTAGACTTGGCATGCCAGCTTGCCTTTAGTTCAATCAGTGGCTTTGCTGTTCCTAGTTTAACCTGCATGTCATCTGTCAAGAGTCCTGCATCACACATGGACCTTCCCATGTCCTGGTCATGAGGAAAGGCTCCTGTCCATGGAGTCATTCATTGACTTACTCAGGACAAACAAAACAGATACAAGCTTTGTCTTCCTGCAGATTCTCATCCAAGGTTTTCAGGGAAATTCTATGGGACAGCTGAGTCCTACATGACTGATGGGGTCCTTCGTCCCCTTCTTTTAATACTTTCTTTCCTGCCGTGGACTTTCCAGAGGGCTTGGGCTTCTGACATGTATTGCTTTTGTCACCAGACAAAAATGCCACAGGATTGAACAGAGCCTTGAGGTCAAATTCCAATCTGTTTCTTTTGTTCCTGTGCAGTCTAACCAACCACACAGATAGGACCACACATGACTTCTAAGTCACTTAAACCGTCAACTGCATTTGTAGGCTTTATAAGCTAAAGGATAGAAACACCATAGTGTTTGGAAGAATATTTTAACTAAGCTCTGGGGAAAATAAGTTAGGGTGGAAACAGAAGGGGGAGGGTGTTACGGGCCTCAGCACGGCTGGTCAGAGGTGCTTCCAGACAGTCTTTTGAGGAGTTCTGGAACAAGATGGAACAGCAATGCCTGAGGATGATTGTGATTGTACCAGTGGAGGAATCTTAACTCTTTAGGGGTTTAAACTTTGAAAGGTTTTCGTTTTTTCACAATAATTTCTACCAGTTGTTCTGATGAAGCCCCTTTCCCAATAGATCAGAGGAACCTTCAGTGGCAGTTGAACCTGATGTCTCTTGTGGTTAATGGTTCAGCTCAGTTAAAATTTCCATCTTGAATGTACAGTTGACCCTCGAACCATGCAGGTTTGGGAGCATCAACCCCCCACACAGTTGAAAATTTGCATCTAACTTTTGACTCCCCCAAACTTAACTACTAATAACCTACTATTGACTGGAAGCCTTCCTGATGACATAAACAGTCAATTAACAACATATTTCATAGGTTGTATGTATTACATACTGTAATCTTACAATAAAGTAAGCTAAAGAAAGTGTTATTAAGAAAATCATAAGGAGGGCGCCTGGGTGGCTCAGTTGGTTAAGCGACTGCCTTCGGCTCAGGTCATGATCCTGGAGTCCCAGGATCGAGTCCCGCATCGGGCTCCCTGCTC